GAGTGATCGCTGTGGCAAGTGGGGGAGGGAGGGGGGCGTGGGAGGGGGGCTACCACCTCCACGTGTGACCCCCCCTCCTCCACACACACACCCAGACCCATGCGCGAAACGCACAGCAGTGGCAACGAACGAACGAACGAAGAGAGAGACACGCAGGGGGACGTTCCGTTCATTCGCCGTCGCTCTCTCGAATGTTCGGTCGGGCGAGCGAGCGAGCGCTGTTGCTTCCGTCACCTTTCAACGAAAAGGTAGCTGGCTGGCAGGGGGGGGGGAGTTGATACTCTTTCACAGTACGCGTTAACTACTGCAGCTAGTGCGTGCAGGCCGTGGTGGGGATTGAGTGGGGAGTCGTGGCGCAAGTGGTTAGCGCACTTGGTTCTATGAATCTGACGGCGCGAGTTGGGGGCTATTCGATTCCAGGCTACGGCTGTGTGCATTGATATATGCGCGTACGTTGAAATTCTTTCGCAACGTACGTAGCCAAGCGTGCTAATCGGAGGCGCGAGAGAAGTTCTACGTACACACATACAATCTGGCGACACACGAGTCGGACGTTCGATTCCAGGCCACGGCTGACACCAGCGGCGACCGGATATCGAAAGCGGTCTTGTGCCCAACGCCACCACCTCCCCACCTTCGTCACACCGCCCATCGTGGTGTGGTACGGTCAAACGACAACTGACGAACCGCCTGTAAATATATCACCGGAGCGGTTGCGACCGTACGAATTATTTCCACGTTACACTGCAGTGTGCCGTGCGTGTCAACTGCCCTCCAATCCACCCTGCCCATGCACCTCCGATTAGCACGATTAGCCACGTAACGGTGCGAAGGAAGTTCAAACAAACATACATACGTTCGTACAAACATAGCGAATTGGCCTATGGCCACTAATATGCTCTGGTGAGTAAATTCAGAGAAGTGCATCATTGCCCGCACGGCACAATGGATGATGACGACGATGATGACGACGACGATGGATCGTGTTTGAGCCGTGGGATGATGCGGATTTGTGTACGCCGGGGCCTGCAGGTGTTTGCCAGACGTCCGTCGTGCAAAACCGAGATACGGCGAAAGCGTGGGGAGGAGGATTGAGGATGGATGCGGAGGAGGCTCAGAGAAAAGGGCCTTAAACGATTCCAAAATGTAGCTGTCACGCAGCGACTTAAATCTGCGTTTCTCTGATTGAGACGCAATGTGAGCACGTGACGCTTTCCAACGGCACGTGACAATAATCCGTGAATGCGCACGCGCGTGTTCGGGACAACGGGCCCGGGTTGTTGAGGGTATGACGGGATTTTGACGCAAAGGCCGCAAAAAAGCTGGTCACTCCGGCAATGCTCGCTGACAGTCAAAGCAGTAGGCACGCACGCACGCACGCGCGCACGCACGCACGCACGCGCGCGTAGTATTTCAAGTGTGCGCGCATAGACGTCGCAGAGAAGATGCGGCGTAAATTTGGACGCTGGGATTTCAGAATGAGATTCGAGCGTGGACCATGCGGAGGCCCTCCCTCCGCACGGTCTCGCCCGGTCGTCACAGTGCGCCGTTCGGCACGACGTGTCCGACGTTTCGCCCTGCACGTTGATAAAATGTTTTTTTGTTTTGTTTTTCTCTCTCGTCGCCGCCGCTTGCGCACGCGCGGCGAAACGTCGTGGACAATCGGCGCCGAGAGAAACAATGAACAGCAACGCAAGAGAAAATGATAAACAACTCCCCTCCTCCGCCACCACCGCCCCAATCGGAACGGCCGCTCCGGTACAACCCCGCGAGAAAAACAAGTTGAAATAAGAGGCGGTCGATGGGTAGCCCACTGCTGCGAGTCGTCGTGAGCAACTTGCCGATGCAAGTGTGGGGGGATGGGGGTGGGGGCGAAGAGACACTGGCGGTTGTTTGTGGAATAGCGAGACGGTAGCTCGCACCCCCCCACCCCCCCGTACACATTTTGTATATCGCCAACTTAAAAGTGCAGCTCTCTCTCTCTCTCTCTTCCCTCTCTCTCTCTCTCTCCTTGGCTCAGCGAAAAACAACACAATTGATACAAACTGCGGTGCTCGTCGATATATTTATGGCTCTGTGGTCCCTCTGAGGCATTCACAGACTGTGGGGGTTCATATATAATACATAAGTAAAAACAAAAACGCAACGTACACACTCGCGCAGCGATAATTGAGAAGGAACGAGAACAATAATACAATATTTTTTACCCCTCTCTCTCCCTTAACCTTGGCTCTGCAATATGTATACACTTAAGCACAGGCAAAGGCTCCTTCAAACACTTCTGAATTTATATACACCCCGATAACAATTAGCAACAGCCTTATAATTGCTAAGCTCTTTGCATATATATAAATGTGAAATTCAGTGTGGGGGGGGGGGGGGGGGGGTGCCCATTATATGAACACGATCAATGCTGAGGGTCGCCCGGTGCAGCGCACGCGGGCGCAATGACAGCCCCACCCCTCCCCCCTCGTCTGACGCTCGCGCCCACGTGGTTTAACTATTATGACGTTTTGTTTATGATTGACTCTTTGCCGCTTTGTCGTCGTCGTTGTCAACTGCATCATTGGCTTCCTTAAAAGTTGGCGTCACACAATGTCCCTGATTTCTTAGCGCAAAGAGAGAGGAACCACTCGCCAGCGACTGGTGGAGTGAAGAGTCGCGTGCGCGTGTGTGTGTGCGTGTGTGTGTGCGCGTGTGTGTGTGCGTGTGTGTGCGTGCGTGTGTGTGCGTGCGTGTGTGTGCGTGTGTGTGCGTGCGTGTGTGTGCGTGCGTGTGTGTGCGCGTGTGTGCGTATGGGGAGAGAGAGAGGTGTCTCTCAAGAGACACCCCGAGAGACACTCCGAGAGGCACCCCCAGAGACACCCCGAGAGGCACCCCCAGAGACACCCCGAGAGGCACTGTATGCCAAGAGGAATGCTGTTCCCTTCTCTCTGCTGCCAGCTCAGCTCAGGAGCGACCCAGCTATGTCCCACCTTCACACCCGACCCTGCCTGCCTCTCTCTACCCCCCACACCAACCCACCGACCCACCCCTCCACCCGCACCCCCCCCCCACACCCACTCCCATCCAACCTTCTCTACCTCCAAAGCTCCTCTGGCTCACTCACCCGTGCAGGTTAAGTTCCCTAAAAAATAAAAACTGGTTTGGGCGGCGTTCCACAAGCATGAGCTGTGAACGAGGAGCGTCTTCAGTTCAGAGTGAAAATGCGAATGGTCTGAAATCCGCCTCCCTTCGCTTACCTCCCCCCCCCCCCCCCCCCCCCATGCTCGCGTGTTCTTTTGTGTGTGTGTGTGAGTCTGTGCGTCTGTGTGTCTCTGTGTCTGTGTGTGGGGAGCGGTGGTGCAGCGGTTAGCGCTACGCTGCGCCACGAACCCCGTGGCGCCGAGTTCGGTTCCCGCTCACGGCCAGCGCCGGTGACGATTATCAGAACCGGCCCTGGGCCTCCCCTAGGTCGACTTAGCCTCAAATGAGTACCTGGTGCGATGTGTAAACAACGCCACTAGGGAGACAAAGGCGGCCGGGCGTGGTGGTGACCACCCACCTCCTCGTGTGCCGTGCCGACCTTCATAGGTGCTCGCTAACAGCGCTTGCCCCAACAGTCTGTGAAGGCTACACGGGGGATCTTTGTCTTTGTTGCATGTCTTTTTGGTTTGTTCTTTCCAAAGCTGCGACGTGTGGCGTCGTGGAGCTGGGATTCTTCTCATGTTCATTTCAAGCTCCGGCAGGGGGAATGTCGTTGCCGTGGTCTATAACTTAATAAAAACGATTTAAGAGGGTTGGCGTGTGAACACAACAATTGAAAGATTGGGAATGTGCAAGGGTAGAAATTAGATATATATATTTGTACATATGTATATATATTTTTTTTACTTCAATATGTAATTAACATTAAGACACACTCATCCCAATATACAGACGGTACTTATGTGTGTATACAAGATACATACACACAAGGTGATACGGACGTACACACGCACACATACCTAACATATATATCATATGCCGATATAACACGGGTTACATGTTACACCAAATGACAAAACAATCTTGGGACATGGCTTTAACATACAGTGCTTAACATTCTCACATGGGATTGACATGCATAACATCTTAATGTATTCCAGTAATATGACCTTTAAAAAGGTACGCATTTATAAAAAGCTTTATCAATACAAGTTTTACATATAGGCAGCTGCATTTAATTTCCTTCATTACATTGTTACGCACATGCTAGGTGGTTTGTTTTCTTCTTTGAATAACGGGCCTTTCGACAAAAAAAAAACACGGAATTTTGTCTTGAAATGAGCGTAGCGAATTTTTCTGTTTGTTCGTTCCTTCACTTTACACGTTCTCACTTTCGGTAAAACGGCACGGCACTCCAAAATGTGGTTGCGATCCAATGTTTTTCCAAGTTTCGGTTTCCGAGCAACGCGCGCGACGCCGAAGGTCCCTGCTACGGCCGCGGGCGCTCTGTCCGCCCATTTCGTTTGCTTTCGCTCGGACCGGCTCCTGCGTGAAGGTTTCTCGCAGACACTTCTCAGTCGCTCTGGGACCAGAAGCGCCGACGGCCCCCTCTTACGTTACGCTGTGGACGGACGCCGCTTACTTTGGCGAGTTAAAATGGTCGCGGTGGTTTTGTGGGAGGGGGGGGGGGGGGGTTCTTTTTTTTTGTCGACGCAGGGAAATGAAGCAGCCCGGCCTTAAGATCGACTCGTTAAATAAAAAGTAAAAGTTAAATTCCTTCGGCGGAGTCGTCGTTTGCACCCAGCGTACCGTCCAGATATGATGTCAGAAACCGCAATGAAAACAAAACAAGCCCCCACCTGCCCCCCCCCCTGCAGAGCCCCCTCCCAGCACCGTCTCCCGCGAGCCTCCCCGCCGTCTCCATGCCGCCGCGCGTGACGCCGTGAGCCTCCCGCGCGCCCGCCAACGATCCGGCGAACGAACGATCGGCGGATCGCGCAAGCGACCGAGACCCACCGAGCGAGCCGTCTCGGGGGGGGGGGGGGGGGGGGGCCTAGCACATGGCGGTCACCATGCTGGAGTGGTGCGCCGGCCCAAAGGAGAGGCTGGTGGAGGGGTGCATGGGAGTGGGGGTCGGCAGCATGTGGCCCGAGTACGGGTTCAGGTGGTGGTGGTGCCCCAGGGAGCCCATGTGACCGGCCAGGGCCGCCGCGCTGAAGTGATTGGCCTTGTCGTGCATGGCCTTGGCGAGGTCGCCCTCCAGGCCGTCGGAATTCTTGCGGCTCTTCTTCGACTTGGTGGAGATCTTGCGGTTGCGCGTCTGGATGCCCTCCTTCTTCATGGTGAGGGGGCGGTTCACCTGTTGGCAGCGCGCGCGCCGAGTTACACTCCCGCACCGATCGCCGACCCTCCGCCCGACGTGCTCCTCGGCCAGATCTCCACGCTTGTCTTCCGCCGTGCGCGGAAATGGGACGTGGGGGGCAATGAAAAAATCCTAACGGACGACGCCCACCCCCCCAGCCCGCACACCACATTTTGTGTTAGCCTGGCCCGGCTGTCGCAGCTTACTACTGCACATCTGTGAAAAAGAGCTTCATGGCTCATTGGATTCCTCCTCCAGTCTATATGACGATTCTGAGTCTGGTTGGGCGAGTGCTGCTCGCGAGAGCCTGTTGAGGACTAATGGAGCTTGGGTTGCCAGGGTCGTAAGACACACACGACGACGGCAATCGCAGTTGGGCACTGTGCCAGGCTAGGTGCACTTTTGAGGCCATTTCGAGTTGCACATACACCGGCGTGTGTTCACTACAGACTCATTTAACCCGAGCAACTGAAAGAGGGGCCATGGATTTCGAGCGGACGCACGGCGCACCTTGAGGGTGGCGTAGGCCAGCACCACAGCCACCCGCATTCATCTCCCCAAGTGCCGGCCTCCGGCAGCTACTGGGAGAGAGGCCCAGGAGCTTTTCAGATGCCGCTCGCCGCTTACGTTAGCCGTGGCTGGCGCTGGCGTGACGTGGTTGGCGCAATGGCCCCGGTGCAAGGAAGACACGGGTCCACCCCCCTGTCCAATTTCCGTCCCCCCCCCGCCCCACCTCCTCCCACTTCATAGCCTGGCCTATGGGCCTCGTTGCATCTCCCACTGCCTGCACGCTCGATAGCTACGCTACACGCCGCCGACGGCCGGGAATCGAACTCGGGCCCCGCCGAGAACGGCAAAATCCACCGTCTCACCTCTCCCACCCCCCCCCCCCCCCCCGCCGCCACCCCCGAGACACACGAAGACCCACCGCGCGCCCACGCTCACGCGCCAGCCGCGGGCCCCGCACGCACGCGCACGAAGCGATCTCCGGAACGGCGATCTTGCGACAGGGACGCCGGGGACAGGACTTTGCGACCGCCGACCAAAGCGTTGGAGAAGAAAACAGAAAAGAGGAAAATCGTTGGAGATAAGCGCGCCTAGGCGGTGGTGCAAGGTCCGCACAAGGCGATGAGCGATACTCCGGCCACATTCCAACTCACATTGTGCAACTTGTAGTAGAGACCGCACGCGTTGCAGACGGGGTCCCCGTTGGCGTTTCTCCTCCACAGCGTGGTGATGGTCGTTTGGCAGTTTGCGCAAGAGGTGCCAGCGCGGCGGGCTGCGGACTGTGCGGCAACGGGCGGCACGGCGGAGAGGGCGGAGTGGAGGGGGAGGGGGGGGCACACGGAGAGACGCGTCGTTGGTATCGTTATCGAGGCATAGCGGCAAAGCCATCATTGGTATATATATAGTTAATTCATGTACCCTTTCTGGAATGAAGAGGTGTTAAAATGTTCACACGCGCACACACTGATCGCGGTGATCATCATCATCAATATTGTTACATCATCATTATCGCCATAATCACATTCATCGTGTCCATTCTCATCACTTACATCATTATCATCATTGAAATTATTATCACTATTTCTACGGTGAATATTTGTTTTATCATCGTCTTCGTCATCATCATCATCACCACCACCACCACGATTGTCATTTGTGGACATCATCACTGTCATCAGCATGATTGTCATCATCATCATCGTCGGTGTCATTATTTATCAACCATTCTACAACCCTTTTGGGGGGAGCTCTGCGCAGTCAGAAGCTTCAGGAGCTCTTTGTCCAAAGGCGTCACTTGACCATACTTCGCCACGCTGGTCAGTGCGGGTTGGCGAAGGTGCGGGGGGAGCCACCGGATCGCCGGTTCAGTTAAAATGACTCGCCACTCGCATCAATCAAACTCCGCCTCGCATTGGGATCACCTCTCGTGTCTCCCGCTCCGTGGCCCGTTGAGCAAAAAAAACAAACCGCAGCCACGAAGCAACCCACACGGAGGTTTGCACAATCCGCGGGCATCTCACGGGCGCATCGCCCGTGTCATAACTATTCAAACTAAACTGTTGTTTTTATTTTTACCAGGTAAAGGCCGACTAAGCTGTATCGCTCTTTTTTTCCAGAAGTGACCTGGCCACAAACGATAGCCTGATGAAGTGGCTCATCGTGGTGGAGATTTACTTGCAGCTGAATAATCTGAACGCGTGACATTGATTCTAAATGTTGAGGTACGACAACAAAAAAAACAGAGGTCCTTCACGTCACCGCCTTGACTCGTCACCACTCTGCCTCGATGGATCGCTCGCCACAAATAAACCACGATACCCTCGGCAATCTCGTCGGGCAGCATGAACTGTCATCGCGCGAACTCTGGGCAATTTCTGCAGCGGCGGCAGTGGATTTGTTGGCTGGCCATCGAACAATGACGGTCGCCGCATCGAACGCGCTTTCAGATGCGCTTCTGCGGCCATCTGGAGCACTCTTCCGCCCGATATTAGGAAACCACTGGAGCTATGCACTTTTAAATCTAAATCGAAAACTCATTTCCTTAGAACTGCTTTGTTGCATTTAGTTTGTTGTCCTTCTCCCCGCACTTCCGATTAGCCACAACGGTGGGCGTCCTATAAACGTGCTGGTCTCTGCCACGGGATCGCGGAAGATCTACCGCTGGCGCGGCCTTCGTCAACAGCGGCTCGACTAGCCCCTCGCCTCGCCACTCGTCTGAAAAGATGAAGACATTTTGACCGACGCGCATTCGGTGCGGGGGGGGGGGGGGGGGTTTGGATCACGAAACAAAAAAACATCGCCTAGACAATTCCCTCGCAGCGGACGTCAACTCCTCACTACTCCCAATTGTGGTGTGGACTAGGCTCGTCATCTCTTCTGGGGTTGATGAAATAACCATTGCTCCGTGAGGCGGTCAACAGCGGTGGTCCTCCGCACGCACGCGTGATGGACTTCTACCGCACCGTACGTAGCCAACCCATAAACCTTTAATATGAATAATATTGGTCGCAGAAGCCTGCTCCGTGTTAAGCAGACCAAATATACCTTGGCTGTGGCCCAATCCTCATCAGATCTCAGACGCTAAGCGAGGTGAAGCCTGGTTGGTCCTTGGATGAGAGACTGATTGGGCATACCAGGTGACAGGAGGCTTGGGCTGTGAAGTGCCCAGTCAATGGCAATAAATCAAGGGGATTCGTTCTAGCAGGGCCATCAGCAGCAGAAGCCACGAAGTGAACATCCCGCTCAAGTCAACAAGCCAGACGGGGCTCAGCAGGGAAGACGGGCTGAGGCTTGAGGAGCGGTCACATTCCATGTCCAACCTGGTCGTACTGACAGCAGGCCCCACGCTCTGCGACCTACCTATAGCGATCTACAACAACAACAACACATCACCATCTGCTGTTGCGTGGGATAACCCAAGGAGACATGTCTCTCAGTCATAAATGTATATAACTGGAGTGAAGGCAATCTCCCACCACGATGGACAGGGCATGGCTGATGTTTGACCATACTTTACCACGCTGGTCAGTGCCCGGTGGGCGAAAGTGTGTGTTCATATTCGCCAGCACCTGGAATTGAACTTAGGGGGCCAGGTCCATAGCACAGAGCGCGCTAACCACTGTGCCAGCGCCTCCTCAACTCTTCACTGATGTTACGCAACTTATTGATGTTCATTCATGCAGATGGCATGGACATTTGGTTCATAATCAGGATCCGTATTTATACACTGAGGAATCCGATGAGCTATTAAGCTTTTCCACTGATGTCCAGTAGGCTATTTCACAACTCGGTCCCCGTACTTTTCCACAAATCCGGAACCAGGACTGGGCATTTCCATCGCGGGAAGGAAGGATCCATAGGCATCACGTGACCATAACCGGGCCGAGTGCCATTGTCAGGAATGTTGTCCTTGTGCGCCATCCTTCAAAGTGCCAGACCAGAGGCCCTTTGACGGTGCCAGATGTAGGCTGTGCGGAGGGACGTGGCCGCACAATCTGCCGGACAGTGGCATTGCATCGAAACGTTCTCACAGGATTGTCACCTTCTGGCAATGTGGGATTTGCAAAGATGGCTTCTGCCATCTGACAGGAATATTCACGGGCATTCCCACCGAATGGAAATCTACGACCGTAGCTTCAGTTTCGCGAAAGCAAAAAAAAAACAACAAGCGCGATACGGAGGCGATGTTTTCCTTCGTAGCGGCCGGGGACCGAGGATGCGCAATGAGCGCCAGAAAACCATGGCTGGGGAGGATTGCAACAGCGCGGAGCTGGTGTTTTTGTCTCACGCAGACGCGTTTGACATCGAGCGATGAGCCCATGCCTTTGCTGACCGCTGGCCGACAAACTGGCGTCGCAAGCTTCTCTCTCTCTCTCACCACGGCGGTGGGACGACGACGTTGCAACACCGCGCTCGCTCGGTCGCGCGCGCTGCCACGTGGAGATTCCGATAATCCTCCCTATCAGCGGCCCATCAGCCAACGTCGTCCTCGTCCGGTCTAATCAGGCGGGAGCCATCTCGCAAGATGCTTTATCTCTTGGCCAATGGGAGACCTGGGGTGCCGCGGTTACGCAGAGTTCTTTCAATTGTTTACGCGAGTTGGGATCGGGAGGGGGGGTGGTGGGGTGGGGGCTATTACAATGGCACACGATGTCCTAGCGTTGCTGTAAATAATGTCCAGTGGAATTGTGGGTTGATGTTAGGATCGTGGGTTGATGTTAGAATTGTGGGTTGATGTTAGGATCGTGGGTTGATGTTAGAATTGTGGGTTGATGTCAGAATCGTGGGTTCATTTCAACAGACAATGCACTCTGCTAATCCCGTAAATGCTATGTAGAAAAAAAGTACGAGTCACCTGTCCAGCTGATCACTTTGTTCAAGCTGGTTCAGTGGTAAGCAGCCTGCCCTCACGAAGCACAGAGCGATACAATTACACAGAACCACGGTCATGAAATGTAAAGGTTCTACATATCCCGTGGCGTAGCTAGCGGAGTGTGCAGGCGGTGTAACTGCACAGGGACCCACGGGCTGGAGGAGCCAGGGCTCCGGGTTACCAAGAGAGGTGTGTGACAATCGGAAAGGTGGAGGCGGCAGCCCCACTTCGTTCCTGGAACCCAGGCGCATGCCAACCGTGCGGGCGCTACCGTGACAGCGCACAAATCGTATCCAAGGGCAAAGTCTGCCCCGCCCGGCTGCATTGACCGAGGGGGCAAGTGGGCACGGCGGCAACCCGCTGAGTACGCTCGACCGCGCGGGCCAGCACGAAGCCGAGCATCGCGCTGCGGGCTCTCTCCTCGAACGTCGCCCTCCCGACCCCCTCGCCAGCGCGAGCTCCGTGCCTAATGAGGCCACGGCGACGACGGCGATGACGACGACGACGACGGGCATCGACGCAAACGAATGCACGGGCGCACGCGGAACGAAGGGCGGCAAAAAAATAATAATAGGAAGAACCCAGCCCCGCGTGCGTTTGTGCTCGTCAAATTAAAAATGAAAGGGCCCCTGGCGACGGGCGCTGCGCGTTTCGCTCGGGCGGGATAATCTCGCCCGCGCGTCGTGTCTCCGCTGTGCGCGTGAGCGGACCGCATCCAACGCCCTGCGCGCAGAGCATCGGGGTTCGTGGAACGCGGACGACCGCTTTATCGTTGCAACATCGATTGTCCGACAGTGGCGATTCCTCTGTACGTGGAGTTTATAATTACGGGGGGATCGCTCGTCTTAGCCATTTGCAGAAGTGTTGCTAGCGAGTGCCTACACAGGCTGGGCCGGGGAGTGCAAGGGCGCGCGATGTTGTCAATACCACGGCACGTCTCCCCAGTGCCTGATTATTGAACGTCGCACCGGGTACTTGTTTAAGGCTGAGTCGACCTAGGTGAGTCACAGGAGAGGTTTGTACACACGCACGCACAAGAGGTTTTAAGGAAGGGATTCAATCGAGTTTTGAGAAGTAATTTGGCACGGACAAAAGTAACACTGTCCTCACAGTAGGCGTATTACCAAACGCAAATCCTTATCACCAGGCAATGGGGGAAAAAAAAAACCTGATATAACATCAAAGTTGTGGCAGTGGCGTTGAATGTAAATTCATGAAATGTTCTAGATTTAAAGCTTTCGTGACTGCTACGATCCATACTCTTTGGTTCTATTGGGTAAAGTCACGTAGGTGAAAATAACTGACTTTACTCATGAAATGTTCTCTAAAACATTTAAACCACGACTTATGTACGTTGACCAATTCCACGGACGTTACGTGAATATATTTAATTTAATTTCTGACTTGGCGATGGGGGTGTTTATGAATGTGCCGCTGGCAATCCAAAACCTGGAGGTTCAAATTCGCGCCCCACAGCTCGCTCAGCCGTTCATTCGCTTTGAGAGCCATTGACGCGAGCACCACTTTTGTGGGATATCTCACAGACCCGGACTCATCCCCACCATGAGAATGTGGAATTGCCACCGAGTATACGCGAGAGTTGAGCACTGCTCCTATCGTTACTTTGTTTGATCAACGAAACACAAACTGTAAATCAAATTGGCCAAACATTCTGATTTCAGGAAGCTCTTGAAAAACAGGCTGTAAGGTTTTCGTGAGACATTTCCCCCAATAAAGGGACACTATTGCTGTTTTATTAATTGTCATTAGTGTCACAGTTATAGGAACCAAAAATAATAAAGGAGAACTAACGTGTATTATTATATTAATAAAAAAAGATATAATTCGAGTGTGCATTTCCAGGTGTGGTGCAATGGTGGCACGGTAATCAGCTCACTTAAGCTCGATTCCCGGCCAGGGCTAACATCAGCAGCTCTCATCCAATCCAGCGGGGGATTGGCAAAGGGCTTGTAAGTTATCATCATCACCACCACCACCACCATTCTTACAATCACTATTATTAGACATTTGCGTATGTTTGTTTATAAGCTGCTAACTTTCTCTCCCCATCCCAAAAACCTCGCTCTCTCTCTCTCTCTCTCCCTCTCTTCCAGAAATAACAACAACGACGACAACAACAACAATAGATTAACAAACGCCATTGTCGCGAGTGGCGTTGTGCCGCCGTGCCCACTGTGTGCCCGGCGTGCCAGCGCTGGGGGCCACGGTGACAGCATTTCCGTTGTTTGTGAAATCTCACGACGACAAACACAAAGGTGCGGCCCACGGCGCCGTTACGGTGGAGAGACGTTAACTACCTCCCGTGGTATGCAGGAGGTTCATGGGTTCGATCCCGACCCTGACGACGCCTGTATATTTGGAGTTTGCGTGTCTCTCTCCCTGTGCTCGCGTGGATTTCCCTCCGGGTCCTCTGGTTTCCCCCCTCCACATTTAGAATCAACGTAACGCGTTTTTGTATTTGGCTGCTGTACATTTCCATGTGATGATAAGCCACTTCGTTAAGCTATCAGTTGTGACCAGGTCGCTTCTGGGAAAAAAAAAAAACAGCCACACAGCTCAGTGGGTCTCCCCTAGGTAAGAATAACAAAAAAAATGTTTTAGTTTTTTAGATCTGAGGGCTTGGGTCAACAAAGCTAGATGATGAGCAAGGGGGCAGTGCCCAGCAAACGTCGTGATGCAACGTCGTGAAGCGACGTTCACTGGATGGAGTCAGCAGCTGGGGAGGCACGGGTGGGCACGTGCGAGTGACGAAGGTCGTGGTGATGATGATGATGATAGGTCGTGATGATGATAGGTCGTGATGATGATGATAATAGGTCGTGGTGATGATGATAGGTCGTGGTGATGTTGATAAGTCGTGGTGATGATGATAGGTCGTGATGATGATAGGTCGTGGTGATGATGATGATGATAGGTCGTGGTACCAGAAATGTAATGCCTCCACCACCTCTCTCCTGTGCAATCTTCAACCCCCCCCCCATCGTCATGTTTGTATCCCCTTTCTCTGTGCCCCTCTGGCACGTGGGGCCCGATGGCAGTTGCACCGCCTGCACACTCGATAGCTATGCCACCGGTGCGTGCGGGAAGTGGTGGCGTAATGGTCAGAGCACCGCAATACGAACCCGGCGACCTGAGTTCGATTTCCCGCTCACAACCGACAACAGTGGCGGATATCTGAATACCTGACCTGGGTTTCCCCTAGGTCAACTCAGCCTCAAATGAGCACCTGGTGCGATGTGTAAAGCATCGCTACTGGCGAGACAAAGGTGGATGGGCGTGGTGTTGGCCACCCACCCCCTCGTGTGCCATGCCAGCCTTCATCGGCGCCGCTCCACGAACAACAGCACTTGCCCCAACAACCCAATAAAAACTATACAAGGGATCTCAGATTTTTGTTTGCTTTATTTTTTTATATATGTCTACATCATAGTCCTGTGTGCGTGACCAGGTGGTGCACGGACTCTGTGCGGAGCCAGATTGCGAGAGTTGTGAGTCGTCAAAACCGCTCTGCAGTGGCCTTGAGAGGGACAAAGGAGCTGCCAATCAGACTCGTTTAATCACAGGAGTTCATCTTTTTGACGGGTTGCTGCTCAGCCAAGCGAGCGATACGGCACGTCTGCATCCCTTGGTCAAGGATGGCTCGCTGTTTACGATCTACGTGTTTACAAAATATCATGGAACCGGGCTGGATTACTCGCCGGTCGGTGTCCCACAAACGATATCAGCTCCCAGCACACCAAGTCCACTATGTAGATGTTAACTACCTCGCCTGGTATGCAGGAGGTCGTGGGTTCGATCCCAACCCTGACACCTGTAAATTTGGAGTTTGCGTGTCTCTCTCTCCCCGTGGTTGTGTGGATTTTTCTCCGAGTCCTCCGTTTTTTCTCACCTCAACATTTAGAATCAACTTCACCCCTTTAGAGTATTTGGCTGCTGCTAGAAATTTCCACGTTATAACCCACGTTATAACCCATTTGTGGCCAGGTTGCTTCTGGAAAAATAGCTATATAGCTCAGTGGGCCTTACTTCGTAAAATAAAAAATAAAAAACTATTTGATTTTGTTTAGTGCTCTGGTGAACCAAACCCCCAGAAAGTATTATTTGACAAGTTAAGCCCCGATACGGACAATACCCAATCGTGCTTATTCTAACCGCATGTGTGCTCGTGCGTAGGTTACGCAACGTGTGTGCGCATGTGCACGTGGGCGCGTGAAGCGAGCGCTTTTGACCCCATTAAATTTGCATGGCAGTGCGACATTTCCCCGAAAACTCAGGAACGTGACTTACACTCTATGTTGATTCTACGATGTTAATTTTTTTCCACTAAATTATTCGCGTCCACCGCGTTTGGCGCGTGTTCCTTTTGTTATTGAACTTCATAGAATTACAGCAATGACAACCCAAGCCCTTATCCTAACCGTAGCTCAAACATTATTGCCCTTATCATAGCCCGAAACACAAATCTCACGCTCGCCGTGGTTACATGGAGGGCATGGGGCAGTGGAGCAGTCGGTTTTCACACAGCGCTACGGACCCCGGCCAAATCCGTGTCCTACCCCAGGCTGCGGCTACAGTCGGCGGGGAGCGTGAGATCTGAACACACAGCAACGACAACCACCGTGCGCCACTAAAGCGATGGTGACTTCACTACGACGCTCGTGCTGGGCCGTCGCGTGAAGTGTGGAAGGCAGCTACGCTCGCTGGCAGGAGGTCGCGCGGGCAGACCCAGGCGCTATGGGGTCGACTGACCGAGGCGGCTGGCGAATGCACCGCGTGTGCCAACTTTCTGCAGATCGGCATAAAGGCAAAGGTACCCCAGTGTGGCCTGCACAGGCTGTTGGGACAAGTGCCATTCGCCACTCAGTGATGACGAAGTCACCACGGCACCTGTGCCAGGTCAAGTGCACTTTGAGGCCACGTGTCGAAAGGCTCGCCGACAGGAGGTCAGGGGTCAGAGCCAGGTGGTGCCATGGGTGGACTGACCGATATGACTGGCCCGATGCACCACCTGTGCCCCCCCCCCCCCATACTGTGCCAACTCACGCTCCTCACTCGCACGCTCACTCAGACACTCGCTCGCACTCACCAGTCGGCGCTTGGGCTTGATGAGGGGCCGGTTCTGCCCGTTCATCTTGTGGTAGAGGCCACACGCGTTGCACAGGTAGTGGCCCGTGCCGTCCCGGCGCCACAGTGGGGTGGACGTCGCTCCGCAGTTGACGCACTCGCGCCCCTCGGCTGCGAGAGAGCAACGGCACACGCCACACAAACGTTGCAGACGGCCGCTCCTCCAGCGACGCCGGTCCCGCACTCACGCAGCATAGGTTTGCATCCAGCCCCTGGTATGAACGACTCCGACGCTTGCAGGGATACGTTTCTCGCTGAATTTTTACTTTTTTACTTATTTACTTTTTACTTCCGAGTCGCTGGAAGACGAGAACCGGTGACGCTTGTCTAGCAGTCACAGCGAGAGGTACACTGGATGTGGTGTGCCGACCTACGATATGCCTGAACTGTGTTTCTAAAGCAGCGTCTGAACGCGGTTGGGGTTTTAAAGTGAGCACGTTATTTTGCACCATCCCGGCCAACAGGAGCGCGAGTATCCCTTTTGTAGTCGATGCTCCGATTGCGGTCATCGTTTCGAATGGTTACAGCTTGTTAGGGGTCAGAGAACATGGTGCAAAGCGCGTTTGGTACCATTCTATACCGAGGTGACACTTAAACACAAGCGCCACAGCCAATGAAACTGCAGCCATCTGCTCACAAGCACTTAAGAATTATGCCAATTTGAATCAAGCAATCACTTTGCAGTCTATAACCCTACAAGTGTCAAATCATATCCCTGGGCTGGAGTTAGGGTAAGGGTTCAATCGTTAGGTTACGTAGCCCATTCACGTAATGTGGACACACACACGCGCACAGAAACGAACAGCTCAAATCAAACTCATTTCAGGTCGCTGGAAAAATTTCCAGGCACATTTTGTGCTTCTCAGCTCGCGTAATAACCACAGATAGGTTTTGCGCGGCGTCGTATCTGGCGAGCCACTTTTAAGGGAGACGAAACAACAGCGGATACGTCGTGCAGTAAAACAGGCAAGTCGCGTTTTTATGCGCTGCATTTTACAGTTGGGGAGAGTTTTCGTGTTAAATGTAACGAAAAAAGTAAGTTACATTTCGTCGGGCGTTAGAGAGCGCGATGCAAGTGAGTACGAGGCGGGGCCGACAGTCGTTTCGCGTGTGAACAAAGCGCGTGAGTGCGTTTCGCGTGTGAACAAAGCGCGTGCGTTCCGTCTGGGTGGAGCGGTGAAGCAGTGATCGCGAGCCTGTGCGTAAAAAAGAAAAGTGGAGATTCGGAGCTTTTTGGCTCGTTTAACTTTGAATTCCTCGGTTTGACGATTTATAGTTAGAATTGCCTCTTGGGGTAGCGGAAGTGTTCGTACATTAGAAGCTGTCCCCCCTACAATGACACACGGTGAGTGTCATTGGCGTACGGGTTAATCGTTGCGTATAAAAACGCAGTCATAACTAGAATAATAATTTGAACGTCACGTTTGATCGTGACGTGTGGCACATATTGCGAGGCAGCTGCCCATCATTGGTGGGGGGGGGGGGCGGGAATTTTTTTTAACCGTGAAGCCTCAATTCGGTGCACAATAACGCGAAACCACTCTGTCGGTCCGTAAATGCGTCTTGCAATTTAAAAGAGCCGCATTTAATTCAGGAGGCTTCAAAAGGGTGGAGGGGGTGGGGGGGGGCTCAGCACTGGCGTTCTACAACGAAACATCAACGATGGCCAGCGAGTGAACAGCAGGCAACGGTGTTGGGAGCGAGATTTCAAAACCGAATTGCACATCGCTCGTTATCCACAATGCGGTTTGGGGGGGGGAAAGAAGCGATTTCGCTCGCACGGGGAGTCCCCCCTCCCCCCTCAACGCGCCACCTCAGCGATTGCCGAACGTCTACACGATGTGTGTCGAAGGCAGGTGCAGAGCAAAAAATTCTGAACAAAATCACGTGACGAAAAATAATTCAAAAAGCAAACAATTGGTTTCGTGTCTGGGGCTTTTTCTCTTTTTGCTTTCTTGTTTTTGGACCAAATGGAGCAGGAAAGGAAGCTCACCGAAAGGATATTTGAGGTTGAGCTCCAAGCTCTCATGCCCAGAGGAAGGCCAGGGATGTGAGGAGGTGGCATCGTGCTGCATGGGGAGGTGGAAAGTCGAGGCACCAGGCATGAAGCGAGATTCTGGAGCCAGGACCGGGTGGCCTGGCAGCAACAGGTAATGGTTTATTGATTTGAGAACATACTTAAAAGGTGATTATTCCACTAGCGTGATGCGCACATCTCCTTTGCGCCGGGGATGTCCGCAAAAACCACAGCAAATGAACCGTTATTATTTTTTTACGCATGACAAAAAATATGTTTTACATCGATCGACCGTTGCGGGTGAGCTCGACAAATATGTGGGCGCCGTGACCCTGCGTGGCGCATCGCGGCAACCCCTCTCGAGAGCGTCCGCCCACTGACAGAGCCAACGTTTTGCGATCAGTAATGCGCCAAAAGCGATTGTTGTGGCCGGACACGCGTTCCAGCCCGCACTTAAGCCATCGCGAATGTGACCGGCTGGACAAAACTGAATAATCGGAACCCAGACATCGGCGCGAGTTCAAGTTCACCATTCAATATTTTTTAGCATACGCGCCAGTGACCGCCAGCAACAGCGGTGCGATCAATTTATCACTCTTTTACGCTGAGAGTTGCAGCAGATGCCTCGACCGATAGTGGTTCCTATTATTTCACCGGCATCGCCCACTCGCCATTCTCGATCCGCTGCGAAACGATACACCGAGAAATTTACCCGCGACATGCCGAGCCGTGGAGTACATTTTTATCAGCATCGTCATCGTGATTTTACAAATCGCCGAATCCTCCGTCGAGGCAATCCGGGCTTTTGGTCGGGATGCGCAGCCGCAGACAATCACGCGCGTAGCCTGTTTCACTTTTTCCGTGTCGCTGAGGCCAAATTGTGCACGCGCGAATTCCAATAAAATAATAATAATGCTGCGATGCTGCCTTTCTATTCAACTCTTCCCCCCCCCCACCCACACACCCTGACCTTATGCTCTGGGCAAGTTTTGGGCTGGCGAGTTGCGCGCGTGGTGCGTGAATGACGGACGGCACAAACACAGCGGGGTTCGGTCTGCTCCTGACTACGCTTTGCATCGCGCTCTCGGTCATATTCACGGGCGGGGAGAACATTTAGCTACGGCGACGACATGTGGGCAGTGGCATGCACGTAAACAATACGGCGCAAACGTCGCCCCCTCTCTCAGGGAAAACGCACGCGGGCGCACACACACACGCGCACACACGCGCGCACACACACGCACACGCGCACACACACACACACGCGCACACACACACATGCACACACACGCGCACACACACGCGCGCACACACGCATGCACACACACATGCACACACATGCGCGCGCACACACGCGCGCGCGTGCGCACACACGAACGCCAACACGACATTTCAGTGGCGACTTCGCATTGACGCACAGCGTGAAGTTTAACACGTAGGCTTTCGCGACCAATATGCGACGAACGATTGGTCGTTATCGTGGCGGGAACACGTGTAAAGGGCCCTCGTCGCAGGCTCGAGTTTTTAACATTTTTCCCTTAATTGAAGATTGAAGGAATTTCAGTTTACATTCAGGTGCAGCCACTGTGGCCTCCAGTGATGTCACTGCCATACGAGTCACTGGGCATCGCGGGGGAGAGATAACTACCTCGCCTGGTATACGGGAGGTCGTGGGTTCGATCCCGACCCCGACGCCTGCTGTATATTTGGAGTTAGCATGTCTCTCTCCCCGTGGTCGCGTGGATTGTTCTCCGGGTGCACCGGTTTTCCCTTCCACATTTAGAGTCAACCCTTATTTAGAGTATTTGGCTGCTATAAATTTCCACGTGATAAGCCACTTCATTATTTGTGGTCTGGTCGCTTCTGAAAGAGGACTGCATAGCTCAGTGGGCCTTACCTGGTGTTAAAAAAACACGTTACATTTTCAAACGACAAGCGGCCTACTTGCACACCTCCTGGATTTCTGTAAAATATTTAACCATTCGAGTCACCTCTACACTCTTCACTAGCTCTAGAATTCACCCTTGAGCTGGCGTAGGTATCTGAGATGGACTGCAGAGCCTCTTCACTGGAAACATAGGCCGGATTGTATAACCATACAGTCTATAACCACCACTATTGCAATTACGTAATTATCATTACACTTTCTCTTTTGTAAATCCAGGAAAGCATAATTTGAGTCTTGACTCACTTTTTTCCAATAGAGTCCTACCATTGGGATGTTTAGGCCGGTTACATTTTTTTTCAATGGAACGAGATGCCGTACATATTCGAGATCTCTGATCGGAGATCCATCGCTGTTTTAAGGAAGCAAATTCCGGGCAGGTTTCGACCGATTGTAGTGGGCCAATGAAATCGATGGGACGCGCAGCTCGTTGATGAAGCGTGAACCTCGGCTGCACACGGCGTGAACTTGTGCAGAGAGGACAGACTCTCGGGCCGGTCGGCACCGTTGGGAAATTTTTGTCGGCCCATCGGAGGCTCTCAACAGAATTCATGTTTGGGTGACCCACGTGACCACAATAAACATGATGATGATGATGGCCCAGACGCATGGGACTTAATTTTATCGCGGTTGTGTGACATTTATTAGTTCAAATATCGTAATCGTGCTGCAGAGAAAGATTAGATTTTTTATCTAGTATTTAGTTATTTTTAAAATTAAGTATCCGAGTTCGATTTGATGCACACCTCGTTTTGTATTTTGTTAACAGCCTTGCGCCAATTGCGGTGCCCTTAAACTTTCCCTTATCGCGCCCCCCCCATCCCCACCGCTGGCCTAGCACTTCCCAACTGTTCCAACTGCACTGGGGTTTGGCTCCGCGCGGTGCTGGAAGTGGCCACTCCACGCACGCCAGAAAAGTGTTGGTGACAGGGAGGCTTGGGGGGGAGATGGGAGAGAGGGGGAGAGAGAGAGAGAGAGTCGGTGTCGGGGTTCACTACCTGCGGACGTTCGCGACTTGCTGCGCGGCTTCGGGGTGAACCCTACGGGGGAGCCGCCCAGCAGCCCCCCGTGGGGGTAGAGCGGGTCACCGTAATTGGGCCCGCCGGCCAGGTAGTGCGGGTACATGGGGATGGGGTGGTGCGTCGCCGAGGCGGCCGGATGCTCCCCGCTTCGGGGCGGACTGCAGCTCTCCAACTTGAGTCCACCCTGATCCCCGCCACCTCCCTGCTGCTGTTGCTGTTGCTGCTGCTGCTGCTGGTGCAGGGCAAACGCATTTTTCTGCCCGTGCTGCTGCTGCTGCTGCTGATGCATCTGCTCCTTGTCCATTTCGTCTCTCTGTGTGCCGCGGCCCCCTCCACCCCCTCCTCCCCCTCCTCCACCTCCTCCGCCGGCTCCGCCGCCCGCAGCCCCGGCCCCGCCGCCCGGCGCGTCCACGGGACTGTGCGCCGAGTCCTTGGGCGGCGTCGACGAGAAGCCGAACAGGTGGTGGTGGTGGTGGTGGTGCGGGCTGGCGGCCGACGCCACCCCGCTGCCGCCGCCGCCGCCGCCGCCGCCGGGGCTGTAGCCGGCCAGGCTGCCCGGGTGGGGGTGGTGCGGGTGGTGGGCGTGCGGGTGGTGAGCGTGGGCGGCGTGCAGGGCCGACTTGCCGAACGGGGAGACGCTCCAGGCGGCGGGGCTGTGCGGGTGGTGAGCGCCCAGCGCCTTGCCGCCATCGAGCCACGAGAGGCCGGCCGGCCCCGGCAGGATGTGCGGCCGGCACACCTGGGCGCCAGCGAAGCCGCCTGCTGGGACACACGCGCACGCACGCACGCACAGGGCACACGCACACACGCACGATGATCAGGCAGAGTCCGCTTCAAGAAAAGAAGCCCGCTCCGGCGCGTGGGGAGAAACGTCGGACGTCGTGGCAAAACGATACGCGGTGTCATGCGTCACACAGCAGCTGTACAACAAAGATCCACTCGCCTCTGTAGCCTTTAACAATCTGTTGGGGCAAGCGCTGTTAGCGAGCGCCTTTAAATGGCCAGCACGGTACACGAGAGGGTGGGTGGTCACCACCACGTCCGGCCGCCTTTGTCTCCCCAGAGGGGATGTTTACACACACCGTACCAGGTACTCATTTTTGGCTGAGTCGATCTAGGGGAGGCCTAGGTCCGGTTCAGATAAGCGTCACCGGTGTTGGCCATGAGCGGGAATCGAACTCGGGTCGCCAGGTTCGTAGCATGGCACCCTAACCGCTGCGCCACAACTCCCCAATTAGTCGCACACCACCACCACTGTGGTCTGTGGGAGTCCGGTGAAGTTGCACCGCCTACACACTCTACAGCTGCCCCAAATGGGAGTCCGTCGAAATCCAACCATATCAAAGTGTTTCCCCGAGGTTATCACCGATGTGCAACGTGTTGTATAGATAACCTGCACTTTTGTAACACACTTCACGAGCCCAATGATTGTTAAACACGTCCCGCATTAACGTACAGAGTGCCGATTCAAATTGATTGAAAGATATATGCATATATGCATGTGCGCGGACCAGTGACGGTTATCGGAACCAGTCCTGGGCCTCCCCCAGGTCGACTCAGCCTCAAATGAGTAGCTGGTGCTATATCTGAACCAGCCCTACATTTATTGCCCCCAATTCCTCTTCACCAACTTACACTGAACCAGAGTGGTGAAGTATGGTCAAGCAATTCCCGTGACTAAGCCGCCGGCCGGTGTGAGAGAGTCCTTAATCCAGCAGTGGATCGACAAAGGGCTGCACGTTACATATGTTCTTAAGATTAATAAATAAAAATAACTCGATTTGATAACATGTCACTGTGCTGCATTGAGCATATGAAGAATTGTCTATCTGCCAGTCAAAAACTGCGTAAAGGCAATAATTGGTGCACCTGTTTATGTTTTCTTGTTTGTTTGTTTTCAATATAAAGCAGCGCAGTCATTGAGGCACGAGGCATCTCTCGCTGCAAGGCATCAGCAGCAGCCAGGCGGTAAGCCCCCGCTACAAATAATTGCCCAAGCTCTGTCGCCCTCTACGTATATTGACGATGTCTTCAGCCAATCAATGAGTGGCTGGCTGCACACGTGCATCGGGGTCGGGGTGCGTCAGGCACAATCGTGACAGGCAGGTGGAGTGCAAATCCTCCACTCTTCATAGCTCTTACCCAGACCTCTGCTTCTTTATCTGCCTCTGCATACTGTACTTGTATCACGCATCACTGGGTGTCCGCTCGCTCTCGTTGGCTCGTCTCGTGGTATTTTAAATCCAAGCTTTTACGGCATTCCTTCAGCTGCAAACCGATCCTTCAACGTGACACGAGCGAGTGAGCGAGCGAGCGAAGGGGCGGGCGGGCGAGTGAGTGACCGAGTGGGTTGGTGAACGACTTGGTGAGTAAACTGAGGGGAGTGAATGATTGAGTGAGCGAACGAATGAGTGAGTGAGCAAGAGAGGAAGTGGATGAATGAGTGATTAAGTGTGTCAAGTTAATTAATTAATTACTTTGTAGAAAGAGCAAGTGAGTGTACTGTGTGTATCCAGGTATTATCATGTACCGAATTACATAGTAGGGCACGTATGTGTATGCACCAGAGATGATATGTGTGTGTGCGCATCATCGATGCGTTTACACGAAGCAGTGCGTTCAAATTATTTCACATTGCGCTTGCGAATGGCTCTCTGGAGACGCGTATACTTGCGGTGTTAATAACTTTCGTAATGAAACGTGATGGGGTGGGTGTTGGGGGGGGGGGTGAATAGCAGCACCTCGTACTCCAAGGGGGCTGGAAAACCTGGCGGGCCTTAGCCGGCCCAGACGTCCCGTGGCCACACGTGGGCCCATCGCTTCGATACGGCAGGTCAGCGATAATAAAGCACCGCTTGCGAGCAACTTATCCGCACAAATCAAGGGATGCTGGAGAGGAGGAATTAATTTGGCTGTGGCCAACATTCGTTTGTTTCCATTTGCACCGAGCGCACAGCAAACTTACGACTATCGTTGGCCACGTTTGTTGTCTGATAAGTCTGAGGGGTGAGCGCGCGTGCGCTTGTGTGTGACAACGTGTGGCTTACGGAAGGCATTTGGAAGTCACATTCAGACACTGCCCTGATGCACTGTGTGTCCACTGCACAGGTGTATCGAGGGAGAGCGCCAAATTGTCTGCCTTTAAAACGCCCATCGTACGATTTACCTCCGTAAATAAACATCTCACGTCACCGAACACAAACTCTAAGCCTCGGAAGGGAGAGCAATGGCTGGCAAGAGTCCCCTCCTGCGGAAGAAATCTCGAGACTCAGGGAAGCTTTGCCGCGATAAAAAATAAAAAGAAACGGATGGCATTGTGACAATTCGTGGTGTCGCCACTGCTGATGCTGCTGCTCTGAATTGAACTGTGGAATTCCAAACCCGGGTGGCTCAGAGCCACTCGCAGAACGGGAATCGACCAGTCACCCCTCTATTGCCGCTCGTTTTGATAAACGAGATATATAACAAAACTTTTTGCAATTCATAATCCCATGTTGCATCATCGGGAAAAATAAATCATCGGCCAGAGCTGTAACCTCGCTACGGACACCTCACTTGAGTGCCAGACCATTTTCAACGTGCGATCACTCAACGTGATCGAGAGATACACGCACGACGGTCTCACTCGTTCCTTCAGCGGGGAATTTAATTACCCACGAGTATGGCCTCGCGACTGACACCCAGCTCCACTACAGTCAAGAGCGACCCAAGCAGAAGGTCCAGGGCGTAGCCATAAACCGTGGGTTGGGAATCAAACCGATACGACCGAGGTTCCAGCGGCAAAAAAAAGAAGTCGCAACCTCGCCGGGCCGGTTAAGTGTACGCCTGGGGCTTTTTGTTTTCTCTGAGTCGACGATTCTGAGTGAACGAGCAGTGGAGAAAGGGGAGACGGGAGCCCTCAAGTCGAGATAACGAGTAACACCGCACCTCACACTCTCCCACATTGCTGCCCTAACCTATCGGGCAGTCGGCATGCGCGTCCCACAAACCCCAACGTATGCGTGGTTTTAACAGGAATGCGCTGCGCGCGCGTGCGTGTGCTTGTGTGTGTGTGCGTTCGTATGTGTGTGTGCGTTCGTATGTGTGCGTGTGTGTGCGTTCGTATGTGTTCGTGTGTGTGTTCGTATGTGTGTGTGTGCGTTAGTATGTGTGTGTGGTGCTGGCCACCCACCCCCTCGTGTGCCGTTCTGGCCTTCATTAGGTGCTCGCTAACAGCACTTGCACCAACAGTCTGTTACAGGCTACATGGGGGATCTTTGTTTTTGTTTTGTGTGTGGGTGTAGTGGGGGTGGGGGTAGCGTTGGGTGGTTAAGCGCACTGCGCAACGAACCCGGCGACAAGAGTTCGATTCCCGCTGACGATCAGTACCAGTGGCGAATATTTGAACTGGTCACGTGCCCCATCACTTAGGTCGACTCAGCCTCAAATGAGTATCCGGTACGGACTGTAAACATCGTCACTCACCGTGGAGACAAAGGCGGTCGGGTCTTGTGGTGGTCACCCCAACCCTCTCGTGTACCGTATCGCTAAAAGCACTTGCCCCCAAAGTATGTTAAGGCTCTGAGGGGGGTCTTTGTCTTTGCAGTGGTTAGCGTACTTGCACAAAAATAGCATCATATTAAGTTAAGTTTTCACGTTAATGTATTCATGAATATATAGTCAACCTCTGGTATGCCGTAACGTCGCTGCTGGCAGGACAGTTACGTAAGCTGTGCATTTCACTGGACATCATTCATCTCCACTTCAGTGACCCAAAATTAATTCCACGCACGTGAGAAACGTCCACGTTGCCGCTCAACGCATCCGAAAGCGAGTTTGCCGCTTTGCGAATTCTCACCAATCGGTGCAAAGTGCCTGGACCGCACGACGCGATTTGCCATCGATAAACGTCGACTTTGAAGCGTGAAAAAGCCGAATTGTGAATTCACTTTAATTCTAACGAATGTTATTAGTGGTTAAGCGCGGATGTCCAATTCTACCATCTGCCCGATACAATAATGTGCACAGTATGAATAAAACGATGTACAGTTTTATAAAAAAATGGATTAACTGTTATTGGCAGATGTGCTGCTACCACACATTACGCTGTTTTGTTAATTAATATTGACTTGTACAAAAAAAACAATCAAATGTAGTGTCTACAGTAGACTGAGTGAGCGAATGCTGCACATCAAATTGCTGAAGGTCTAACGCGCTCACATTTGGCATGATGAATACAGTGTAAAATGATACAAAAACACAACAACAACAACAATATTACAACGGAAAACCATTTGTTTATAAATGTGCGACCTAGAATTACGGCGACGATCTTTGATCGCCCTCGCCATCAGGGCAAGCGGCAGTGAGCCCAAAGGCTCGGGGTGCGGACTCAAGCCTCGCATTGAACCCTCACCTCCCGTCACCAGGGAACTAACTAATTCGACACCCGCTCAGCAGAGTGTGACGCTAAACCCCCATAAAAAGCGCCGCTGACGAGCTTAATCACACAGCAGGCAGACGTTTCGGACAACGGCCCTTTTCTCGGAGAGACGCACGCAGCGTGAGATAGAATATCAATGCCAGGATGATATCATGGGACCTGTTTTTGTATGTGTGTCTGATTAATGCAGACTAGTTTCCTTGCAAAAAGATATCTACTTATTGTTTGAACATCTTAACACCTGTTTCATTGCCAGAGAGGGTAACACGTGTTCTTATTTTTAATGCAATGATTGTTTCAGCAACTTAGAACCCCGATGATGAAAAAGCTGTGGGCAAGTGTGCGCGAAACGTCAAACATCATTCCGGGTAGGGAAAAAATAACTGAAATACACAACGCGCTTAACGACGCAAAAAACACAGCTGGTCTGCTCCTGTCTGCCGTGGATTTCACAGGGACTCTAGTCAGCTCTGAGTCCAGTTGAGACCGGACGAGGGAGGAACTCTGTGGAGTGACCGGGGTGAGACGAGTGGGGCGATGAATGACCGGCACACCGAGATGCACGCGAAGACGGTGATGGTGGTGATGGTGATTATGGTTCTTGGGGTGGTGAGGTCAGCGTGCACACACGATGATAATGGTGATGATTGTGAAGATGATGATGATGATGACACGGGGGGAGGGTTGCGTAGAGACACGATGAAGACGATGATGAAGGTGAAGATGATGGTGATGACACGGAAAGCGGTGTGGCGGGGGTGGGGTGGGGTGATGGAGAGGACGGCGTGGACTCACTGTGTGTCTGCCTGTAGCCGTGCACGGCGGCGCGGGCGTGCGCGGGGCTCGCGTAGTAGGGGGACACGGGGTTGCCCTGCCCGTCCAGGTGATTGAAGAACACGTCCACCTCGTCTGGAGGCAGAAGCTGAGAGGGCTCAGCGTAAGCCCCGTGCGGCAGCTGCTCCATCGGGTGCTGCGCGCCGCTCAGCACGGCGTTTGGATGCGAAATCCATCGGGGCTGTTCGGAGCTCACCTCCATGCCGGCTCTGTGCCACCACCGGAGTTGGGAAGGAGGGGAAGGGAGGATGGAGAGGAAGGGAAGGAGAGAGGCAGGGGGAGGGAGAAGAGCAGCGGGCGATAACAGGGTATGAATCAGAATGCCCGCGTGGGATAATAGAATATGCATCACGTGTCCATCCGGTAAGCGAAGCGCGTGGTTGGTAGGGACCACGGTGCAAGAGATTCAGTATGACCCCCCCCCCCCCCCTTCCCACTTTCCTACTGCGCACCAAGCAAACACCTCGTTATCTTTAAGAAAATCAAACAAACAAATTAACCGGGGCGAACGTCTCAAACGTGGCCGAACCCTCGGAGGTGCCCGACACTCACGCGCTCAAAGTTCCGCACGTGCGGGTTTCACAAGCCCACTGGCTGTGCTGCCACCTCCTGGCCACTGCCTCCTAACAAAGTGGGCGTCGAGAGGTTGTCAAACGTCGACGTGATCCGCCAACCCTGGCATCTCAAAGCGGCACTCGGGCTCGTGCTCGTGAGATTGAGAACGCGCGCTGTCTTTGGTTCTATATGCGTTAAAAGTAAAATAATGATTAAAAAACCCACGTGGATTTCAAGTCGGTTACGGATGCACAGTGACACGACGGCTGAGTCGAGCGAAGGCGCAGCAGCAGCAGCAGCGAACGAGACACAGCATAGCACACGCACACACACAAAGGACTCGACATAAGCGTTAAAGCAAACATAAAAACCCGAAAAGGTCAATAAAATAGACGGCGACAGAGGTGATGATTTCCGCACCTCCGGTTAGCACGCTTGGCTACGTACGCTGCACAAGAAGTTCAACAAACATACACACAACACACATACACACAACATACATACACACAACATACATACACACAACATACATACACGCGATTACGCGGAATATGAATTAGCGTCGCGTGCATAGCGAAGCTCCACCAACAACAAATCATTACACGTGTGGTATGTATAGCTATATATAGGATATATACGATATATAGACGATATATACGATATATAATGGAATTCAGCGCTTACTGCTCTATCAAACTAACGAGTAACAGCATGAATCGCGTTAGTAATAAGAGTTGCACATTCTAAGCTGACCATAATACATACAAATGTATCCCGTACATTATAAACATTACACACCACGTAAAGAATATTAATTCCGGAGCACACGACGCGTAATACATTAGTTCAATGCAGCGCGTAAAACAATGCTCATGTATATACACATTTGCGTGTATACGCTTGTATGTCTGAAGACAAATATGCGAAAAAAAGACTTCGTATATTAACGTACATTTATTTTTAAATCTTTGCGCGATCTCTCTTGCAAACATAACTTTCCTCCAACAATATTATTTTAAGCCTTTGGTCAACAGACGCGGAGTCCCTCTGCGTACCGTGACGGTCGTTTGGGGGGTCATTTGACCATACCTCGCCACGCTGGTCAATGCGGCTTGGTTAAAGTGCTTCGGTGTGAAGGGTGTGGAGAGTTTCGGGTATCTATCACTCGCCACTGAGCTCAACTGAGGCCGCCAGCGGAACCCTACAGACGTCTGCTGATCGCCGTCTTACTTTACTTTACCAGTTACTTGCGACGTGCGTTCCTCTGTGTGTGTGTGCGTGTGTGTATGAGCTGTCATTGCAGAGTGCACGCTCTCTTACTTTGTTTTACCATCTACCACCGGAGGAAGCCGTTGCCGACTCTTCAGACGATCCACGGATATGAATACACAGACCGCTAATATAAATCAAACGTATCCCGAATAAAGTCGACGAAACGTCGTCAAATTTGCGTGCGGCGACCGAAGAAGTGATGTGGCGCGCGTGGCAAGGACTCGCGCGACGACGATCGAGGAATGCACCCGGAGCCAGGAACAACGACGCAATGTCGCCTCGAATTCGCTTCGCTCTTCGCGCGGAGCGTGCGCGGTGTGCGTGTGGTGGGTGAGTGAGTGCGCGTGGTGGGTGAGTGAGTGCGTGTGGTGGGTGAGTGAGTGCGCGTGGTGGGTGAGTGAGTGCGTGTGGTGGGTGAGTGAGCGCGTCTCGTACTGGGGACCGCGCTAATGCCAAAGCGAGGGTACAATGGACCGAGCGCAGGCAGAGAGGGAGGTGTGTGTGTGAGTCGAGTCGTAGCGCCGCGCGCGTGCCTGCGTGTGTGCGCGCGCGTGCGTGTATGTACGCGTTCGAGGGCAAAAAGCCCACCCCTCTTCCTTCCCCTCCTCCTCCTCTCCACCCCTCCCTCCCTCCCCCCCCAAAAGAAAGCCAGCACCACCCACAGTCCATCTCAACGCATTCTCCCCTTCACCCCCATCTCTTCTCCGACCCGCCCAGCTGACAGACCCACCCATAAATGCGCCCCTCCCACCCTCCCCGCAGCTCGCCCGCTTCTTCACTGGCGCCAGTCCGACCCAAACCCAACCTCGTAACCTCGTAACCCCCCCCCCCCACGCACAAAAGACAAAGATCTCCCGTGTAGCCTTTACACACTTTTGGGGCAAGTGCCGTTAGCGAGCAGCAGCACCTATGAAGAAGGGCCTGCACGGCACACGAGGGTGGTGGGTGGCCAGCTCCACGCCCGGCCGCCTTTGTCTCCCCAGTGACGATGTTTACACACCGCACCAGGTACTCATTTGAGGCTCAGTCGACCTAGGGGAGGAGGCCCAGGACCGGTGCAGATAATCGCTATCGCTTGTGTTGGTCGTGAGCGGGAAACGAACTCAGGTCAACGGGTTCGTAGCGCAGCGCGCTAACCGCTGTACCACCGCTCCCCATACTACACACACACCGCCACCCACTCCCAAACACTCACTCCCCATCAACCTAACCCCCAACCAACCCCACGCTCAACCCCCCAACCCCCCCAATCCCTTTGCGCCGCCACACGCCGCTTGCAATTGGTGCACGGAACTCACTTAAGATTTTGTTCCACCAATTTCCAATTTTGCGCGCTTCGGTCGCCTAATAAATATCAGACTCTGAACGCGGGCGGTAAGGGTCTGCTCAGAAGCTCTCTATTACAAAGACATATATATACCCCGAGGAGCCTCTACAGCCTGCTTGGGTGAAAGTGATGGGTGAGCGAGCATTCTGTATACACGCAATAATAAATGCAAAGATTTCCACCGTACAGCTTCGTGGCAATTACTGCGAGCGAGCGAGAGTCTATGCAGGCTGGCACGGCGAATCAAGAATTTTCTGTGGCCAGGGCCACGCCCGATCCACGACCTTTGTCTCCTCCAAAATGCGACCGTTTACCTAACCGTAATAGGTATTCATTTAAGGCTGAGTCGACCTACGCGGAACGTGAGATATCTTTCGCCACTGCTGTTACAAATTGTGGCCGGGAATCAAGCTGAGGCTGCCGGGTTCCTAGCGCAATGCGCTAACCGCTGCGCCACCGCTGCCTCTTGACACACACACATCATCGGTTGCGTAACACTGCCGCGTTTCGTGCGGACAGCGTTCACGCGGTTCAGTTTCTGTTGTTTGTTTTAATTTCGCCTGCACCGAGAACGACTTTTTCAAAGGCTTCGAGTGAAGGATTTACGCGCATTCGCGTACAAGTATTCACACGATAAACAAACGCACACACGCGCACACAAACACCTACACGCACGCGTGCACGCATACATACAGACACAAACATAGACGCACACCAACGGACGTCACCACGGCGCCTGTGCCAGGCTAGGTGCACCTCGAGGCCACGTGCGGTGTTGTGCATGCTCACTGCCAGGAGGTCACGATTACCGAGTTACACACACACACACAAAGGTCCCCCGTGTAGCCTTAACAGACTATTGGGTCAAGTGCTGTTTGCGAGCACCTATGAAGGCCGGCACGGCACACGAGGGGGTGGGTGGCCAGCACCACGCCCGACCGCCTTTATCTCCCCAGTGGCGATGTTTACAAACTGCACCAGCTACGCTGTTGAGGCCGAGTCGACCAGTCGGAGGCCCAGGACCGGTTCAGATAATCGTCACTGGTGTTGGCCGTGAGCGGTAATCGAACATCTCACACACGCGCACGCACGCGCGCGCTGTTCAATCAACACCATCTCATTCCGTTTACACTATTAGCCTGTACACACACAGACAGAGAATGGCGCTTGCTGAGCCAAATGCAAACAATTAACTCCGTCGATTAACGAAAAGCAAATAAACTCTTCGGCGTCGTAAGATAATGTTGCGTCGCGGTGTTTATTAACATGCTTACTGGATGAGCAAGCATCTGCAACGGCGCGCGTGTTCATCGTCTCGTGTGTGCGCGGGATGAGATTATTTATGCTCAGACACTCGCGTTGCTCCGTATGCACGTTAACAGCAATGGGTAATGCATTGACGTTCGTGTGCCGTGCCGCCTTCATCATAGGTGCTCGCTAACAGCACTTGCCCCAACAGTCTGTTAAGGCTACACGTGGGGAGGAGGGGAGGGGTGTGATTTTTGTATTCGTTACGCGTGTGCGTACATTTTTTATTTTGGTGAAATAGATACGATGACGTCACAGAAGCGCAACACACGGTGTGTGGCACTGACGTCACTGACGTCACATGACGCCATGCTCACTGCGCTGCGTGTCGGCCAGCCCGCCACAGTAAACATCAACTCCAAGAGTGAACGTGCGCTGGGTGAAGGCCTGCCCACACCGGGGTCGTTTGACCATACTTCACCACGTTGGTCAGTTGATTGACGACTAGGGATTCGTCCGTGGCGGGTTCACATGTAGGACTCGCCGTGGTCGGGAATGGAACTACTGGACATCTGTGAAAAAAGAGCTTTATAGCTCATCGGATTTCTCCAGTACGAATACAAATATTCTGAAAAAAATAAAAAAAATATTCTGAACTCACGTGGAGCCGGGGTCAAAGGGCAGTGCGCTAACCACCGCGTCACCGCTCGTTCCACTCGCAACGCAATTTCTGACGCTTCTCAAACGTTTGAGATTATGGATCGTGACACGGCACACGATGCCCTCCTGACTTCGATATCCGGCCGAGGATAAAAGTCAGTGACGAGTGGATGTCCGAACCCGGTCATGGGGCGTGGTGAAGTATCGTCAACCGGCCCCGTCGTGACCCACATTGCGTGCGGAGGGGAGATCCTACTTCCTGTAATTGGCTGACAAAGGACCGTAAATTATAATAATAATGATCATTATCACAATTATAAATTACAATTACGGATAACGATTGCAATGTATTGTGCCCTTATATATACACACACACACACTGTGACATCTCAAAGCGCTTGAAGAAAATCCCACGGATATAATAACGTACCATCAGAATATTTCTTTTATACTGCAGGAAGAATCCGATGAGCTATAAAGCTCCCCCCCCCCCACAGATGTCCAGTCCGTAGGGGCGGATAAGAACGTTGCATCGCATCGTGCATCGGCGTACAAGTTGCGCGTGACGCAACAAACAATACACTCTGAGATGTTCGCCCCAAATCTCGCCCCGCGTCGGAAGCCACGCAGCCTTTGAGCCTGGGTTGCGCTCGGGTGAAGCCACCCAACTCGCATTAGGAAAACAACACCAACCAAGCCAGTGTTGTAGGTTTGAGCGAACATCCCCATCGCCCGGACTGCACTCTGCTTCAACCGCCACGCTGGACATCTTCGATCACAACAGCAGGGCACACGCGACACTCATCCAGCAGTGGATTGACGCACGTGCTGTACATCACGCTGCACTTACACACGCGCATGAACCCGCCTCTATGCTGCACTGCTTTACGCATGTACAGCGCGCGCACGCCCTTACAGCAAATAATGGTGATTATTATAGGAAGTGTTCTGCAATCGCCGTCGTTCATCGCGATTGACGGGAGTAATTTAAGGGGTGTCCACCGCCCAGAGCGACTGAACTCAGCCCAGTCCCCTCCCCTCGACCCCCACCCCCTGCACCCCTCCCTCCCCTCCCATCATCTCTGAGCCTAACCCCTAATTCCTGTTCATCTCTCCCCTTCGACCAGCAGCAGCAGCGGCGGCGGCGGCGCTCCGGAGGGTTCGCGAGAGAGACGTGGCAGCGAAGCGAAACGTCGGCACTCGAATTTGAGTCCAGCGGCACGGCGGGGATGCCACCGTCCTTTTTCGAGTCGACCGCGCGCGAGCGATTCGGTCGCGCGCAACTCCGTCGGTTTGCGTGCGACTGAGTTGAGAGTCGCTTGCGCGCGTTGGAACCCCCCCCCCCGACCCTTGCTAAGCAGTGTTGCAAAAATAATTGGCAGGGATTTATGCACTTATGCAATTGTACCCAGATACTCTGTTTTGTATTATTAATGTTTCGTGATTTGCCTACCTTTTCTCTTACTTTGTAACTCGCTGATCCGCCCCTACTGGACATCTGTGAAAAAAGAGCTTCAAAGCTCATAGGATTCCTCCAGGATGAATTCAAATACTGATTCTGAGTTGCCGACTGATAATTTAAAACAAAGAGTCGGTAGTGGAACTGACTGCTCCGATGTAGTACTTGCCGTAAAGCTTCTATTAATATCATCATCATCATCATCACCACCTTCATCACCTCATCATTACCATCAACACCATCAACACTGTTATCACCATCATTAACACCATCATCGATCTATACAGTTTTCTGTATATTCCGCTGGCAGTAATGTCGAGTTGAATTAGATGGAATGCAACATTAAGTATACATTGTTATGCTTGATAGAAACAGGTAAATTGCATTCTCCAGCTACAAGTCAGTCAATCTCTCTTCCCTCCACGCACTCTCTTCGCTCCGTAGAAGGACCCTTGCCCGAAACTTCAGCCTCGTATTTGTGGTCTGCTCGTAAGCCAGCGTTGATAACGAACGCGTTGGGTTTGTATTTGATTTACGCGTCAGTGCCGGCTGCAAACGAGCAATCCTCCCCTTGCACTTTTGCTGTTACATATTTCTCTTCTCTCTCTCTCGAGAGAGAGAAAGACACGAGCACCGGTTGGGCGGTGTGGGGTGCGGGGAAGGGTGTGAGAGGGTTGGGGAAAGAGACGTGCATCCAGCAGTGGAGCGAGCAAGACCCTTGAGATCACTTGCTCTCGGGGCTGTGAGCATTCGCGAGCCACGTGAGCGAGCGCCCGCTCAGAGACGCGGAGACTGGGTAGAGCGATTACGCCCTGCGTGGGAACACCAAATTCCAAAGGCTGACGCCGGTTTTGGGTATCGTGAGGTTCAATCAAAGATTTCAATCGTG